GTGAGCTGAAAGCATACCTGTACCAACGTGTGGCGACTCAGCGGACAAGCAGTAACCTGCGGAGTTGCCAGTGCTCGACAACAGCTGATGGTGCCTCTCTGCCTTCTCCCGCCTGAAGAGGCTTTCTTCCTCCTGCCCTTTGCTGCACCACTTAGTGTGTGGCTTTCTGTACCTTTCAGATACACTTTTAAACTTATGGTTGACAAAGCGAGCCTGGGTCCAGCTGAGAACTTCAAAGAGCTGGTTAGCTATCTGGAAGAATACGAAAACGACTGGTACATTGGGCTGGTGTCCGATCTCGAGTGGCAGCAAGCCGTGCTGCAGGAGAAGCCGTACCTTTTTTCACTGGGGCATGACCCAAACCTGGTAAGTAGAAAAATTACTAGTAAGCAAGGTCAGAGTTTGGTTTTCTTTTCCACAGCTTTTTTTTTTTTTTATTTTGAATTGTGTTGCCCAACGGGAAGGCTGTGCAACCAACATTTGCCTGTACTAGGCAGGAGCTGACATCGCTGTGGGTGGGTCACGCTGCACTGTTCTTCAGATGCAGCAGTACTGCCTGCCTGTCTTCCTCGATGGAAAAACTGAACCGAGGAGAACGTGAACTTTGCCATTTTTAAAGGGACAGTATTCATAGTAGCCCCAAAGCTGCATTTAGTGCTTTGTAACCAAAATGCTCGTGTATCTTCTCAGAGAACGCACATTTTGATCTGTTTGTTCTTCTAGGGAATTTACACTGGGCGAGTCCTCACTCTTCAGGAATTGCTAATACAAGTTGGAAAACTCAATGACGAAGCTGTCCGCGGTCAGTGGGCAAACCTGTCCTGGGAGCTGCTGTACGCTACAAACGATGATGAGGAGCGCTACAGCATCCAGGCACACCCCGTTCTTCTGCGAAACCTGACTGTGCAAGCTGCGGACCCGCCTCTTGGCTACCCTGTTTATTCATCCGAACTTCTGCATCTGCCTTTGTTCTAGAATGCCTGGAGCACTTTTTTTTTTTATTATTATTATTTGATTTTGTATTTTCCATCTGCACGTGGGGAATCAAATGCTCATACTACATTTATACGCTGCAAATAAGATTTTACTCTCAAAATGGCGCTGGGTGGCAGTGCCAAGCCAGCATACCTCATTTGCACAGAAATGGTGCTAGCCAGAACCTTCAGCGGGCAGGAAGTCTTGAACTGCTTTCTTGCTGCTGGAACATGTGAGACACCATTGCCTGTGTGGCTGACGAGCCAGGAGATGCTGAAATTCTCTTCTCCAGTTTAGAGAAGAGCAGTGGAATTCTGATCATTAACTATTCTTGGTGCGTTCTGATTTTAATTCTTTTTTCCCTTGGACAGGTGACTTGCACTGACAGTCAGGTTACAGCTCACTGTAGTACCGTCAGCCGCAGAGTTGGTAACCAAAGTGTACCTATGACTATTTATATGCATTTTTTTTTTATTCTGGCCATTTTATATTGGACTGAGTTCCGTTTTAGCATTTGTTATAGTATATATGACTTTAGCTGATCTTCCGTCGTTGCAAGTTGTAAGGGACGATTTCTGCCAAAGTACTTGTTTTGGGGGCAGAGAGAATTTCTATAAAACGGTGTGCACACTGACACGTTAATAACCTGTGTGACCTACTGATGAAAGAAGTAAGTATTTAATTGGGGGACAGAAAGAATTTAATTTTGAATGGATTGATTTTATTTCCTTCCTCCAATATCTATGTGGTTTTTATATGTGTGTGTGTGTATATGTTGGGTTTTGCAACCTACGTCCACATTACTAACCAGTCTTCCATACGAGAGCTTGATAGTGGGGCGTTAAGGGGGAAATCCAGCTGTCTTTGCCACAATTAATTTATTTTTTTTTAACCTTACCAGAAGTGGGAACAGAATTTGGCAGTCGGTTTGCAACATCCCAGGTTGCGTTGAGAACAGGTCTGGGTCATCTCTGCGGTGGCTTGTGGATCCTGTTCGTTGCCCCCAGTCGTTAGCACATGAATGTGTGTTCTCTGCAGATCCCTACCGTGTGGTTCCTGCTGGCGTACGCCGAACAGGGTGTGGGGAACGGGCTTTCCGTAAGCCACAGAATCAATTTAAATCACATCTGCTCCACAACTGAATTTGTACTGGTTTAGAACACCCAGAGTTGTATAATTTGGAGCATGTTTATTACTTTTACTGCTCGCCTTTGAGATCTTTTTGCATCAGATAAAATTTGTCTCGGGACTGTTTACTGTGTACTTGGCTGTGAGCTGTTACTTTCGAGCAGTGACCATAAATGATTTTAAAGAAATAAGCAAACATTGTCGTGGAATTTGGAAGTGGTAAGGAAAGACCTGCCACGCTCTGTGGTGTAACGCTCTGAGGTACAGGAGGGCGTTCACACCGAATGTGGATGGAAGCAGCTTTTAGCAGGTGTTGGGTTGGTGCGGGGCAGCATTAACTAACCAAGGGCTGATAACCTGAAACCCCCTTGCTTGGCCGTGAACTGGATCTGGAAGTAGGGAATCGCGGACACAGGTCTGGAAGGGCTTCTGGAGAGCAGAGCACCTATTTCAGCTCCCTCTCAAGAAGAACTACTCCTGGCAAATGTTTAATCTGATTTAAAACTTTCAATACCAGGAGTATCATGAACTCGTTAAGTAGTTCAGTTTCTTTGCTGTTCTTGCAGCAGTTGGAAAGTTGGAGGTTTTTTTCCCTATATCCAGTTAAACCTCCCTGCCTCATTGGAAGCCTCTTACTACTCGTCTCCTGTATGGTCATGGAAAATTTAATTACCTTCTTTTTGCAGCAGCCGCAGCAGTCTGTTGTTTGAAGATGGCCATCATTTCTGCCCTCATTCTTTGTCTTCTGTCAACTGAATAAACTAGCTGAGAACAAAACTGGAGAGCACCGTGATCCTTCTCTCTCGCTTTCTGCTGGCTCTGTCCATCTGGTACCCAGCCTGCTTGAGCGGCGTTGCTGGTGACTGGCCGCGGTGACTGGCACCAGGCGGAGGAGCAGTAGTGGCGTGCAGAACCCCTGTCTGTGCACAGGACTGGTGCTGGGTTCTGGCGCCCTGTAGCAGGCCATCCCCGCTGTCGCAGGCGCCAGGCCCAGCAGCCCCTCGCTCGTTACTGCACGGAGCCAGCTCACACATTCCGGTATGTTCTGCAACAGTACGACCCAGATTCACATTGTGTTTTTCTGTCACCCTCTTCAGCTTTTTTGGCAGGCCCCGAGTTGCAGCCTCGTGTTCTGTGTCACAAATCCACGCAGCAGAGCGCACCTGTGACAGGCGTTACTTTGCTTGTGTGCTCTTGAGCCTGGTTTGGAGCATTTCTTTGATTTATCAGGAATCCAGAGCACCTTCAAGCCCGCTCTTGTCTGCAGCGCTCGTAAGTGTGTAATGCATGTGGCTGTTCGGCCTGCCGATGAAATGCTGGCACTGGACTGAGTGTCTGGGCCGCAGCTTACGATGGGGCCCCACCATTTCCATGTGCGACCACCGAGACCTGCTCTGTGTTTTCTAACCGGCTGTGTGCGTCACCTTTACTGGAATGCTCACCCGCACCCACCCGCTGCACAGTGGGATGTTCCTCACTCCAAGGTAAGCGTAAGACACCTTCATCGTGGCTTTGGAGAGCCCTTACTGAACGAGGTCAGTTTTAAATCCTTACCAGATGATTTTCACCCCCTTTGCTTGAGTCTTGACAAAAAAAAACCCAACATCAAGTCCTGGAGACCATCCAGTTCATGTACTGTAAAGCAACAGCAGTCAGTTTAATGGAACGAAGCGTTAAGGACTTCTGTGTTTTGTCACGCAGCCTTACTGCTGCCTCTCCCGCACGTTTCACAAACCCCAGTGTGGGAACTGGTGCATTAGGGAGTGAAGTAAACCTCCCGCTCCTCCAGAACAGCATGGGACAAGATGCTTGTCGACACTTGTTCAGTCTTTTTTTTTTTTCCCTAGACAGTAGTTCCCATCTTTGTTCAGTGTCGTGTTAAAAATGTCACTCCCGGGGTTATTCTTTGCTCTGGTTGGAAAGTGTCAATAATTGCTAAATGGGTGGTGGTTCTTTCATTGTCACTCGATGTTATCAGCAAGCATTTTTCGTAACCTGGCTAGTGTGCGGCCTGAGGCATAGCCAAACAGCACTGAGGACTTTGTCAACAGCAAGAAGGTCACCAAGCCTGCAAGCACAGCGCAGTTACCACTTGTACAGAGGTACTTTCCCCTAACAGCTGAACTGGGGGTCAAGGGGATGGTAAGTGTTCTGTAAGATCAAATCCTTGGCCTCTTGGGGCTGTTGAGACTGCTTCTATTCTGGACGTGCCCATTTCTGGCTGAGCTGGGAACTCAGCTTCTGTTTCATGCTTTTATTGCCTACACTGCACTGGCTGCTCCAGTGCAGCCCTGACACGAGCACTGCTGTCCTGGCTGTACACAGTCTGACACAGAACGAATTCCTCTTTGCACCCTCTTGTCGTTACCGGCACATTCCCCTGCTGCCCTCTCCACAATGCTCTACAGCTTTAACTTGTGCCAGGTCTGGAGCAAAGCTGAGCGCTGCCTATGCCACGGGTTACAATCACCATCCCTCTCTCCCTTCCCCATTGCTTCTCTACACACAGCCCAATCCTCAGCCTTTACAACCAAAAGAAGGTCAGGGATTCAGCCCTCAGTTTTGCTCTCAGACCACCTGTACAGCAGAGATGAAATTTAACCTCCTTTTCCCAAAGAACACTACACAACCACAGACTGCGCTTCCCTACCCTTTGGATCATGGGCTTCTGCTTCAGGGGGTGGGGGGTTTTGCTGGGCTTCCTGTAGGAACAAAAGTGAGGGAAACAGGATCCTGCAGGCATATAATTTTTAGCCTGCTTACCAACCATTTGCCAATGTCATAGCAGCAGAAAAGCAAAATAAATGGTGCCTGGCCTCTTCTGTCACAATTTGTCTAAGCATAAGAGTTCAGCCTATGGGAGTCTGACCCGAAACGGGTATGTTTAGAAAGAGATTTTTATTTAGTCAAGCGTGTACACAGCTTGATAGATTTGTCAAGTTACATGATGACAAAGGTAAAAGATAAAAAAGCTTTTGTTTGCAGTCACGCAGTATGAAAAAAGTTTCTCAGCCTTAGCAGAAGCAGGGGTTTGTACACTTTTGTCCTTATTTCTTCTTTCTTGAGTAAGAGACATCAGCGTCCTGGAGTGAGAGTACATTAAATCAGTATTTCCCCCTCCGATTTAAGTCCTTCACCTACAGTGTTATTTCGCTGGAAAGAGCTTGTGACAGTGTGGAAGTAGGGAGTTCTAAACTGCATGTGCCACCTTTATTTTTGCATTTCCTGCTTTTGGAGTACTTTGCCATGGTTTGTTTGTACCAAGCTCAACAAAAACACAGCAGTAAAAATCCCATCTACCAAGCAGGCTCACAAGGACAGCACAGTGCAGGGCCCCTCAGCCTTCAGGGGAGGGGATGCAAGTGAAGAGCCCTGACAGCCAGCGGCACGGCTCAGCGTACTGCTGGGAGGTGCTCGGATCACACGCCGGACACAAAAACCAGACACAACCAAGGGAGAGGTCTTCAGCAGTCTTAATCCCAAACTGCAGTCAATTTACACCAGCAACTCGTGGCTCAGCTCTGCATTAGGGCCCAGTTTGGAACTGGCAGCCCATGCAACAAGAGCAGAGCAAGACCCTTGGCGCTAGAAGACAGAACTGACTTCCCTGCGCTGCAACGGCACTGCAGCAGTCCTAGGTTGCCAGGTGTGCAGTGACGGCCACTGGCCTGGCTCCAGCTGCCAGGAAAGTGAGGGGGGAAAGGAAATGGAGCCAGAGTGCCATCCCTACATTCCTGTGGTTCCAGAGTCTGTCAGCAGAGTGACAAAAGCAAGCAAGTAGAGGGGAGAGGGATAAACTCACCACTCCACTCTTGAAGTTCTGTATCCTCTTCTTGGCCAACTTGTTCATCAGCCACCAGGCCCAGGTGGGCGCGTACTGCCAGAGGTAGCAGATGGCCAGGTAGGGCTGGTCGCTGACCCAAGCCTCCTTCAGGTCGTTGGCCATGCTCACCAGGGTGAGCCGCACACAGCGGTCCGTTGGCATCTTGTGGGACTGATCCCCGCTCTTCTCCAGGGGCTGGAGGGGAGAGAGGGCGCAGAGGGATTAGAACTGGTCCTGGGTTTGTGGGAGAGAAAGGGCCAGGCTCTGCGCAGCGGACATACTCCTCCCAGTTGCTCACAGGTGGAACAATCCAGCCTGGGGCTGGGGAACCCGGCCCTCGTTGCACTAATCCTCCCGTTACCGGTGTGGGAACACTGACCACCTTCCTTTAGCACACATGCTTAAACAAAGCACCCTTTTAATTAAGGCCCCAATGGATGGATCAAAGAAGGTTTAAAAAAAAAAAAAAAAAAAGAGAAATGGATCTCCAAACTGTGTCCTGCCTCAGCAAGGCTTCTACTTTACTATGAAATAGATCTACCAGAAGTTATGCACTCTGCAGAGGAGGGCTCCAAGAAATGGGAGCTTTCCTGTTCCCAGCTGCCCACCCCATTACATGCTACAAGTTACTCAGTAACCAAGTGAGTAGATAGGCCGCATTTCCCATTGACTAAACATTCCTGCCAGCACCGCTCTGGAGGCAGCCGTCTCTAAGCAAGAGAAAAGCAACAGGCTTCTGCAGTCGCAGGGATGTCTTACTCCCAATCTCCCACCTGCATCGCTCGGTGAACGGAAGCCCCAGCCCTGTGAATTTGTATGTCTTTCACTCTAGCAGTAACAGACTGCTCTATCAATCTGTTCTTCCATTTCCCAGCACTAAAGCAGTTCTGGTCTAGATTCAGTCCTCCTCCTAGGTCTTTGGCCATACTGAAATCTGAGGAATTTGTCTTGCAAGCTTTACAGATTACTCAAAGAGCATATCTTTCCTTTCATGGAAGTATGAACTTCTGCAAGCCAAAAACCTTTTCAGAACTCGATTCAACAACAAGTCTTCCCACACACACACACTGGTGGGTTATCCTGAGCTTTAAATCGATTGAATTTAGGACAGATTACCAAAATGGATCACAGCAACAATTTTTGCCAGCTACTTTGTTAGACAGCCTTTATTAAAAGCAATTGTGCAGCTGGAAGGTTTTGCTTTTTCTCCTTCAACAATCACTAACAGGAAAAGAATGCAGGCCTGGCAGCAGCTGACTCCAGGGGCTTTGCCAACAGCAGTGTCAACTACAAAGGGGACATCGTGACTAGGACAAACAAAAAGCTACCTGTGCTGAAAGGACAGCATTCTGCATGCAGAACTGTGTCCAGAAAATGCTGGCCTTTGCCCCAAAAGTGCAGCAGGGTGGCTGTACAGTGGATTTCACTACATTTGGGTTGTACGTGTTGGAAGAAAGAAGGCCTAACAATTCTCAAACTCTGTTGTCATTTGATATGGACTCGATGCCACAAAGAACTACAAGACTAAGCATGGTTCTGCATCCATCAAAGCATTTCTTGGTAAGAACATCAGGCTGGCTTTTGCTATGAGGAGAAGAAGAAAAGAAAACCACAAAAGGATCACTGAGCCTGCAGCAAAAGTTGAATTTCTCACAACAGAGCTGAGTCCTTACCTTTGCAAGATTCTCTGTAAAGACATTTTGTATGATCTGAGACTGTACAGGTCCCGGGCATATGACAGTAATATTTATCTCAGGGTAGTCAGTCAGCTCAGTCCGAAGAGAATTAAAGAAACCCTAGAAGAAAAGATGATACAATGTAATCTCCCCTTGCCATATTTCTGCGTGTAGCAAGGCTTAACTGACTACATATTTTCATTCTAATCCTATACTGTAAAGACAGCAGCATTCCACCAAAACCAATTCCTACTGTTTTGACTTTTTGTGTTCAATGGCTAATTTAATATAATTACAAAAGCTATAAGTATTTCTTTTCTTTAAGCTAACAGGATACAATTTTTTTTTTTTTTTTTTTAAATCTCTGTAGCAACTCACATTTAGACAGCAACTATTCTGGGGAACGTGACTGATTCGGGAAGGTGCTTCCTACCAAAGCTGCTGGTTAAGCACTGCAGAGCTATGATTTAGCAAACACCACCTTGCATCTTACCTTTGACCTGGTTAACAACAGTTATTTATTCAAACACATAGTTTTGTGTCACAACAGAGACGGAGAGCTAGCACAGGCTGATAAACTTCTCCCACTGTAGTAAAAATTTGTAATTTCTACTCCCATCCAGCTTGGGAAGAGGGCTGCCCAACAGAGAGCTCTGAACTAAATTGCAACCCAGGGCTAAAATCAGTCAGACGCTCCTGCAGTGACACAGAAGCAGTCAAGTGGGGCAGCCCACTAACGCTAGGCAATGAGCTGCACACTGCTGCACTCATATGACCAAGAACATGGGCTCAAATTTCCCCATTGCTGGTCACTAATTCCAGCTTACAGATTGCTTACAGGCTCTGCAGTTCCATTCTGTAAGAATGCTGACCATTTACTTCAAGTTGGAAGTACCTGCAGGCCCCACAACCAGTATCAGATCTTCACGGCATGTTATCAAAGCCTGGAGACATGGAACATCTAGAGGTGTACGTTCTAACATGAAGACACTCATATGCCCAGAAGTCTGCTTCTGGACACATCAGGAAGCATCTCGGATCTGCCAACCACCCAGTTGTTTTGGGTTAAAAACCCGGGCGCTCCTCTAGTTCACCTCCTGCCCTAAGAGCTGCCTCCTCTGCCCTTGGTGCACGCCTTCAGACATGGTACCAGCATGGGCAGGCTTTATTCACCATGCTGGGCTAATGCTACAGCGCCAGCC